CATGAAAAAAACACTAAAATCGATGGCAAAACCGACGGGCTACTTTTGCATCGTAAAAAAATGTTAGATTTTCTGACTGTGTAGCGACGATTTATGATATGAGTTATTTGTGATGATTTAACAACAAGAAATGTTGTCGATTATTAAGAATAAATTTTTTTCCGACAATTCTAATCATTACTAATGCATTAAGCTAGGGCTATCAAAAAAACTCATTGTTTGCGAACGGCTCTTGTTCTGCTCATTCGTTAAGTAATCGAGTCGAACACAAATAATTTTTTTAAGCTCGAATTATGAACGAGCTGAACACAAGCAGTTCTTTGTTTGCTTGTGTTAACTGCTTGTGTTCGGCTCATTTTAGATCAAAATAAAAAAAAATTCATATAATTATTTATATAATAATATATCATATATACTTATAACTAAGTTTAAATCATAACAGCTCGTATGATAATGTGGTTATGCGTATTCTTTTGCATAGATTTGGTCTAGGTCATTTACTTTTTTATTTTAAAATATTTTCCAAAAATGTGTTTATGGTTTAGGGTTTAGTAATTAAGACCAAATATTTCTTTCTATTTTTGTTGGATTTCATCAGAGATCAGCTTTAAACCCATACATTTTTGCTTTAGTTATGGATTCTCTTACTAGACATGTACAGGAGGATTTAAATTGGCGTCTGATTTTCACCTGTGATATCCTTCTTATGGATAAGACTAGGGAAAGTTTAGGAATGAAAATGAAAAATTATGGGTTGGGGTTTTATCACGACCTTTGATATTTGAGCGAGAATTTGAAAAATGGAAGAAAGAGGGTGCTTGATTTGTAAATAGCAATGTTTTGGATGCCCCATATGTAATCACCCCAAAACTTAAATTTTGGGCGTCGACGTTGGAGTCTAAAAGCCTTCGTTTGAGTAGATATAGAATTAAATACATAAAATGTAATTTTAGTAGTAGTATATCTAGTGGCAGAGTTGCAACTATAGGTGATCAAATCATTAAAAGGTGAAAATGTATTAGATTTATCGGGTCTCCCGTTCAAAGTTTAGTAGATTTCGATTTGGTTAGTTGAAGTGGAGGAATGCATCGGGCCAATTGTGTTATATAAAATAGTGCTTGGATAAAATAGAAAATTTTATAAGATGGTGGTGAGACTTGCAATGTTCTATGGCGCAGAGCGTTGGCCTTTAGATTAAGGGGTTGTACGATTGAAGGCGGGATTTAGTTTGAATGAGTTTTTATAACTCCAAAAAATCTAGCATTATCAAGTCTTGAGGTATGTGCCAAATCCAAAATAAGATTTAGTTCGAAAAATGATAGTCATTCGGATATTGATTCTAAGTTTGACTCGCACATGAAACTCGAGTTAAAAGAAACACGCTGAGGTACCAGCCAAAATTTTAGATCAAATTTATTTGGAACTCACATTATCTCGGCTCGAAGTCAGATCGTTTAACATCTTAGTAATGTTAGTTCTGTTGATGATCATTAAATGATCGAATATTAACTCATAATTGATTAAGACGTCTCTCTCTGAGAGTGTATGCCAATATAGCTACATCAGCTCTCTCACAGATAAATTTGTTTCATATTTTCTCTCCAAGTAAAAACACAATAACAAATCCCATAAGGATTGATGATTTTACATTTGTAAAGAAAATGTGAAAAAAATATGTTCGTGAATGAGTTGATGTAACTATGATGACAAATAATATTAGAGATAAAATATTGATAAATGTTTGTTGATTATCGATCTTCGACAGCCCTAACAGCCTCAGTAGGTTATTAACGTTCTAATTTCGAGCATAACTATTGTCGGCTCTAAAGAAATCTGAATCAAAATTAAATTAGTCAATTTTTTAGCGGTAATTGTTGTTTAGTATTAAGAAAAAATAATTCTGATTGTTTATTAAACTTCATTATATCTCTTCCTGATGTTGTCTGCAGCTGTAGCTACTTCAACCCTATCACGAGCATATTTGTCTCGTATTTTGTTTCCAACTGTAAAGCCAATTATAGAACTAAACATTCTTGTAGCCGCAGCCCCTTACGCAATTGATTGCACACCTAGAATTATCTTTTTAGATGGGAATATTTTATATAATGTAAGATTTTTCACTGCATCTTCCAGTGCGAAGTCTGATTTCCAAAGTCATAATAGAAATTCACTTTGAAATGTAATTTGTCAGTTCCAAGATGGAAATTCACATCAAAATTTAAATTTCATTGCCACAATTCCCATTTTGGCAATGCAATTTAGATTTTGAAGTAAATTTTTATTTTGGAACTGTCAACTTAGATTTCAACGTGAATTTTCATTCAAACCGTGAAAATTTGACACATCTGTTGGGTTGCTGCTTTCACGACATACCCACCTTTTCAGGTTACTGTCTCATTGGCACACCCTTTCTTCGGGTTGCTGCCTTCACGACACGCCAACCCTTTCAAGTCACTGCCCACCTTTTCAAGTAATTGCATTATTTGCATGTCTCAAAGAGAAGTCCCCGTGCTTCTCCAACCCGACTGACTTAGCATAGATTTCTACTTAGGTGGTTGTCTGGTATGCTCAGGTCGTTAGAAGGCTCCCCGGCCCATACATGGTGCAAGTCCTTCTGTTGAGAGTGTTTTTCAGCTTTGTAGTTGAATCTCCCTTTCTCCTCTTTTCCGATGGCATCTTTGCCATTTTAGCAGGTATAATCCTTTCTTTTGGAGCTCCACCAAATCGTTATAGGATAGAGTTTTATTCCTCTGACCTTAGGGCTACCAAGGTTCCCTGTAGATGATTCTATTCACATATTGCTGACCGGGATCTCTAAAAGTGTTGGGTCGACTACCTTCTAGGTACACTTAGGGTCTTAGTGACTTGGGATGACAGGTCTGTGATATACTGTTCGGACTATCTCTTTCTTCTAGGGACTGCTCCTCCCTTCTTATGACTACCCCTATTGAGTCTTGTCAATCTTATTGTCTTCGTTGGTATCATTTTGAAAGTCTGATTGTCGATGAGCTGTCGCCCGTTTGGGATATGATGATTTATCATCTACCCTTATGACCCATATGTGCTTTGACATATCGGGATTCCCCGTTAAGATGATTCGGTTATTTGGCAGACTTCGTATGTGGATGAGTTTTTTACTCATGTAGGGACCGCAAGAGACCCACTCTCCGCCTCATGACTCAACGAGTGCTTTAAAAACATCAGAGCATCCCCCTGTTAGACAACTATATTTTGATAGTCTTGTGTTAGTCGACACTACTAATGTAAGCAAAACTCCTGTAGATAAATAGTAACTAATCAAGTGAGATACATCCTCTGGGAACACTCTAAACCCCATAACAGACAAACATGTCTGAATCTCTGGTTGTGGATACTCTACATATCTATTCTTTCATGAATATTGATCTTAGGTTCTTCCACCCGATCTTGTTTGTCAACTTTATCTTTGGTTTATCGCACGTAGGCTTTCTATATTCTTTATCTTGTTTGTCAACTTTATTGTATGTCCATCTTTTTTAATTTTTCTCTTTACCTGATCGTTCATATGATCTGAAAGATAAACTTATTCAGAAAATGGAAGTATACGACGATAGATAAATTAACGTGTCTTTTAAAAAAATAGAAAGAAAAAAATAATGAAAAAAGATATTATAATTAATAATGCATATAAAAAATTTTGTGATTTATAACTATCAAATTATATATATATATATGCGCAGAGCG